TCCATTCAGAGATGGAAGAAAGGCAAGCAGTGACACGTTGCAGGACAGCAGGGGAGAGGTCTGGGGAGGAGAGATATAGCTGGGTGTCATCAGCGTACAGGTGGTAGTGGAATCCAAATGAGGTAATAAGTTTGCCAAGAGAGGCAGTATAAAGAGAAAATAGAAGGGGACCAAGGACGGAGCCTTGGGGGACTCCAACCGAGACAGGGCGAGGGGAGGAGGTATCATTAGAAAAAGAGACACTGAATGAGCGTTGGGAGAGATAAGAGGAAAACCATGAGAGGACAGAGTCACAGAGACCAAGCGATTGCAGAGTTTGAAGAAGGAGAGCATGATCAACGGTGTCAAAGGCCGCTGAGAGGTCAAGAAGAATTAGTATGGAGTAGTGGCCTTTGGATTTAGCTGCGATTAGGTCGTTAGTAACTTTGATAAGGGCAGTCTCTGTAGAGTGGAGAGGGCGGAAGCCAGATTGAAGGGGGTCAAGGAGAGAGTTGGAATTGAGGAAATGAGACACACGGGTAAAGACAAGTCTTTCCAGAAGCTTTGAGGAAAAAGGGAGCAGGGATATGGGACGGTAGTTAGAGGAGGTGGACGGGTCGAGGGATGTTTTTTTTAGTATAGGTACTACAGTGGCATGTTTAAGGTCAGCAGGGACGATGCCAGAAGAGAGCGAGCAGTTGAAGATGTGTGTTAGAGAAGGCACGAGACAAGTGGAGAGAGATCTGATAAGGTGAGATGGGACAGGATCGAGGGGGCAAGTGGTGGGGCGAGAGGAGCAAAGAAGAGCAGCCACCTCTTGGTCAGTGGCTGGGGAGAATGTCTGAAAGGTAGGAAAGGTATGATCTATGTGTGATTGAGAAACAGAAAGGCAAGGAGGGGAGAATTCTTTCCTTAGCTGATCAATTTTGTCAGTGAAGTAACATGCAAAGTTATCAGCAGTAAGGTTGGTTTGGGGGGGTGGCCACAGCGGGGCAAAGAAGAGAATTAAAGGTGTCAAAGAAACGCCTGGGGTTGCAGGAACATGAACTAATGAGAGAGGAAAAATAGGACTGTTTGGCAAGGGCAAGGGCTGCACTGTATGAACACAATATGAATCTATAGTGGAGAAAGTCTGACTGGGTGCGAGACTTCCTCCAGGAGCGTTCAGCACAACGGGAGCATCTTTGCAGGTAGCGCGTTGATTTAGTATGCCATGGTTGGGGGCGGGTCCTCCTTGAGGTGCTTGTTTGGAGTGGTGCTGCAGTGTTCAAGGCAGATGTAAGAGTAGAGTTATATATGGAGATGGCCAGTGAAGGACAGGAGAGGGAAGGGATGGACAGCAGTTTTGAATCAATGTCAGCTGACAACTGTTGGAGATCAAGAGAATTAAGGTCCCTCCTGAGTTGAGGGTGGTTAGGCGGAGGTTGTTGGGTGAGGGGGTACGTGAGAGCAAACGATAAGAGGTGGTGATCAGAGAGTGCATATGGAGTGTTGCAGATATTAGATACAGTACATGCATAAGTGAAGATTAGGTCAAGGGTATTGCCAGCTACATGGGTGCCCACTGTGATAGCACGAGGGAGGAAGTAATTGAAAGTAGTTTATTGGCTGCAGAGGTCAAAGGTGGGTTTATAGGAATATTGAAGTCCCCGAGAATTAGGGATGGGATGTTAGAAGAGAGGAAATAGGGTAGCCAGGCAGCAAAGTGGTCAAGGAAGAGAAGAGGGGAACCAGGGGGACGGTAAATAACAGCAATGTTAGCAGAGAAGGGTTTGAAAAGGCGAATTGAGTGTATTTCAAATGACGGGAAAGAGAGGGAAGGGGGGGTGGGAAGAGGTTTAAAAGAGCAGTGAGGGGAGAGGAGAAACCCAACACCACCACCTTTATGAGGTGGGTTCGGCTACTCCCGGAGTTGGTGCAGCTGTCCCGTCTCCTGGGGGTACCGAATGTCCTGGTGATCCATCTTGGGGGGAATGACCTGGGGTCCGTTCCCATTTGGGACTTGATTTCGGCTGTCAAGCGGGATTTAGCCCGCATTTTAGTTTTGTTAATTAACTTTGTGGGGTTATGTTTTTATGGTTGGAGTGAGTTAATAAGTTGGCAAGTCTCAACCTCCCCTGCTTTAAACGGTTAACTTTAGGTTGCCTGAGGTATCGTGCCCATTGAGCGTGGATAAGGTCGGCTGATGGCGGGCATTGGAATGGTATGATTTATGACGAGGTGAGAGGAAGTGGTGATTAGGAACCACGGTATGTTTATTGGCAAGGACGGTTGGGTTACTGTATAACACTGTGTGTTGTTATATATGTATATATGTTAATTTATGCTTATTTATGTTTAACAATTTTGGTTACAGAAAGAAGATTTTGAATAAATAAAGTTATGGATGTGTTATGCAGTATTTATTTATTTATGTTATAATAAATGCTGTGGCCTGTTTCATCCATACTAAGTTGTCTGTCGTTATTGGGAGGGTTTAATGGGGTTAATTTATGTATCAGGTAGCATCGGAAAATTCCCCACTACGTACATACATGCCCACAACATAGGATAAGAGGAAGCAAGCGTAGCCTTTGGTATTTGCACTTTCTTTAATTTAAATGGAACCTAAGTTGTCTACACAGATAATAGATTTCTGTCCCAGGTGTCCTATGTATACCATTCATTACAAGTTAAGCTTGAAGAGAGGAGCCAGTGTTCAAGTTAATGGGTAAGAAAGCATGGAAACCTGTGTGTTTTCTAAATACCAAAGGCGATTTACAAAGGTTTCCCATCAGCACATTAATAGTATCTGGCCTTTGATGGTGATACTGTAACTAATACCCAACGGGACACTGTATGAGGCACTTGAGTCATCACCAGTACATGCAGTTAGTAAGTAATGCTATTTAGGAACTCGTAACAGTGGAATTAATGTGTATCACTCTCAGGCCAGTGTTAACACCTAAATCCATCCTTATAATTTAAATGGGTAAATACAGCCAAGCCCTAGATCTTAAGACTGCAGTAGGCTGAGTGCTTGCCATTATTGGACTAGATATATTCGAATGAATGTGTCCCCTTTGGTGTTGGCAATAGCATGGGTATGTGTTCTCTGCAGAGACTCCGTTTGTTTACCAGCTATAAACAAACACTATTTGCAGGCAGCAAGTTAACATAGGACTGCAAATATGGGGGTTTCTTTTACATTCCTGGCCAACCGCAGTTATGTCCTGTCCACACTGCGCTGTTAAAATAATAATTATTACAATATTACAATACATTATAACAGTGCTTTACAATTATAAAATGGAGTTATGTAACAATAGGTAATTGACACACAGAGATAATGTTGACAGACGCAAGAAATAAAAAAGGTCCGGCTGAAATGAGTTTGCAATCTAGGGGATTGACCTAAAGCACACTGACAATGTGGACAAGTGCTAATTTAATCATGGTGCCTGAAGCGAAGCACTGCACAAATGGAGATAAACCCCTTTGCTGCTGGAGGTGTAACTCCACCTCCCGCAGCATCATTGGGGCATCATCAGCCAGTATGGAGCAATAGTTCTCGGGTGTCTAATGTGAATCCTGTGCAAATATGGCTAGCTCTGCTCGCTCCCAGGCACTGGACGGCACTCAGTCCTGGAAGCTCTAGTCCTTACAAGGACTTTCCTTGCTATATTCTCCACCAGCTGCAACAAGCTGTCTCCCCCCCAATAACTGGACAGGAGACAGCTTGGAGGGATACAGCTCTGAACATCCTTTATTGATACAGCTTCCTTTTATGCACAGACCGCAGGGGGTCCTCATTTAATTCAGTACACTTCCCTTTTTCCCAGGCAGGGGGGTGATTTACAGATAACTATCTCCCGCTCTGGGAGATACCAACTACACAACAATTGCAAACAGTAAAACACATATATGGGGTACACACATGAAACATATATCCCTGGATAGCCCCGGGTCCCAGCTAGGATCCCTGCAAATAGCGGGGCTATCGGATGTACAGAGCCTGAGAAACCATTGTATAAAGTCTGGGTTTCGAGGGTCTCTAGATCCCTGAAATCAGTTCCACAGCATTGCTTGGTATGGTCTGGTGAATTCAAACTTAGCGCCCAAACCAAGCAACAGCCAATCCGGAAAAAACAAATCACACCAATCAGCGCTCAGGGAGGAGAGGAGTTTCGCTGCCTAACCAGTACAAAGGGGACAAAGCAGAGATATTGTCATCTAATTTTACATGTATGAAGTCATAAATCCTCCCCAAAACCTGATGTTTTAAAAAGATGCTTTAAGGAAAGGTCTACTAAAGGTTATGTGCTATAACAGCTCGCACCCGGGACAGGTACACACATGAAACATATATCCCTGGATAGCCCCGGGTCACAGCTAGGATCCCTGCAAATAGCGGGGCTATCGGATGTACAGAGCCTGAGAAACCATTGTATAAAGTCTGGGTTTCGAGGCTCTGTAGATCCCCGAAATCAGTTCCACAGCTTTGCTTGGTTTGGTCTAGTGAATTCAAACTTAGCACCCAAACCAAGCAACCGCCAATCCGGAAAAACCAAATCACGCCAATCAGCGCTAAGGGAGGAGAGGAGTTTCGCTGCCTAACCAGTACAAAGGGGACAAAGCAGAGATATTGTCATCTAATTTTACATGTATGAAGTCATAAATCCTCCCCAAAACCTGATGTTTTAAAAAGATGCTTTAAGGAAAGGTCTACTAAAGGTTATGTGCTATAACAGCTCGCTCCCGGGACAGGTACACACATGAAACATATATCCCTGGATAACACCGGGTCACAGCTAGGATCCCTGCAAATAGCGGGGCTATCGAATTGCCAAGTAAAGCCAAATTGCATAGGACCTGCTTCCAGACAGGGGCCCAGTGAGTCCTTGTGTGGGCATGGATCTTTGGCTCCTGCTGTGAGGGCGCCCTCTTTGGGCCAGCAAGTGTATAAATAAATCTCCTTGCTCAGCCTTGTGCAAATATTGGGTGCAGACTACTTTAGGAGCTCCCTCGCATCCCCCTTCCCCCAGCTTTCTGAGTTATTAACGGAGCTCCAGAACTGTCAGGGAGCTCACAGTATATTGGTGCAGAACACAATGACTCCCCACTGGACCACTAGGGAATCCAACTCACCTTTCACTCTCACCGGTCCACCAGGGAAAGGTAAGCAGGAGGTGAGCAAAATACACACACTTGAACACTGCACACACAACACTCAGTCACTACAAACCCAACACTTAACCAGCACACAAAAGCACACTGAACCTCTACCTACATAGAGCTCTCAGCCTCCTGATGACATGTTAAAACCAGCCACTACACACAACAATCAGCCAACATACAAACACACCACTCACAGAAACAGAGCCCAGGGCTTTAAGAGGGGCCCCCAGTCCAGCACACTGCTTAGGGCCCTGAGAAATGTTGGCTTTGATGCCATCCTAGTCCCTTACTTGATTGCATTTCCTTGCTTTCTTGTGTTTATACCCTAAAGCCTTGCATGTGTAGGTGCTTACCATTTGTGCTGCCATATTATGGCCATGGGTTTAAGGCAAGGCAGAGCCTATCAGTGCACTGATCAAGTCTTTATGTGAGCACACAGGGTTACACTTGCAGGTTTAGTGCTTTCCTGAAGCTTGGTCCTTGTTCCCAGTTTGGAATATTTGGTTCCCATCTTGCCTTCCGTTAACCAGGAATTTCCAAACAATAGCACAGCACTTGGTTACACATGGGGAATATTCATTTTACATTAAGCCAGGAAAATTGCCAGCGCTGGGTAAGAGATGTATACACTCTGCCTATTATGTACCTTGGTTTAACCCTACTACTCAAAGGCCATAGATATCAAGTATGCAGGGAATGTAGCCATACACAGCTGCTTTCAAATAGCATTGAGTGTAGTGGGGGACCCATGACACACTCCTCAAGGCTGAATATCTAATGGCTAGTAGGCTAGTGGACAGTTTGAGCCCCACATTAAGTTATAGTGGACTGACAATTGACTTGCAAAATCAAGACACAGTTAGCCCTTGGTTGAGAACTCAGAAGAACTCAATAGTGGATAATCTCTTTCAAAACGTTCTTGATAGATTCTTGTGTTAAGGACATCCCAGTATGATGCGTAAAAATAAAAATTGGCAGTAGCCATTTGTTTGGCTTACAGAGTAAAAGTTCCTAGAATAGAAAATCCTTTCAGTCATGCACTATTGACTTTCTATTACCAGTAATTATATATTAGTAATAGTTATTATGTAAATGTTGCTAAAAAAGATAGACCCCTTAGCACAATGGACTGTATTATACAGGGTGGACAAAATTCAGGGTTTGAGAAGTCTATAACCTTTTCATTGAAATTATAACCAATTTCAATGATGTTACATACATTGAATGCTTAACGTATGGAGATTTGTTTGACTAGGTACAGATAATGACATTTAATAAATGAGCTCCATTTGCCGCCTCACAAAGTCTGGCTTTTTTCATTGCATTGTTCATAACAATAGTTAATAATTGAGGCTCTAATGCTTAAATTTCTGCACCGATATTCTGCTTAAAATAGTCAAGTGTGTGCAGTTTGTTCACGTACACCCGCTCCTTCACATATCCCCACAGGAAGTAGTCGTGAGCTGAAAGGCAAGGCGAACATGGCGGCCAATTAATCTGGGAATTTCTTGAAATTATCAGCTCGCCGAACATGTGTCTCAATTTAAAAAATAAAATTGAACCATTTTTAATTGTTGCTCCTTTGTGAAATTAGCCATGAATCTCCCAAGACACGGTTATAAAATGTACCTGGAACAAAAATATTTAACCACTAACAAATAAGTTATTTAGCTGTCAAATCCAACTCTGAATTTTGTCCCACCCTGTATATATATCTTAATAAAGGTGTTAAAGGATGAAACATTGATAGTGTATGAGCTAATTTAATGCATTTATTATTGAAGACCTAAGAGTGCTCTCATTTTTTTGGACATCTATGTATTAACCACAAGTTCTCGATGCAGTTTGTTCCTACAGGTTCTAGAAAGTTTCCCTGACTTAATCATTTTTTTCCCTGTTTAAGTATTGCCTGCACCGTCTTCAGTAATGCAATCGCTAATGCTCTGAGCCCCGTCTCTCTCACCCAGCCTCAAATATACCTCTAAGTAATGTTTAAACTAAAGTAACCATTTACAAACCTTAGCATTGACTGAATGTGTCCCCGAGGCAATTATTCATCATCTTGGCAGACATTAGAATCTTAAGTGAGTGTGTCTGTGTATGAATATGTATGTGTGAGCTTGAAACCCCATATAAAAGTAGGTAAGGCATCATGATGTAAATTGTAGAAAAATGGAAAGTCCAAGCCGCTACTTCAATCAGTATGAAAAGCAGGCTGGGCCATATCTGTGAAATGACATTAAAATGAAGCCTTCATGTACTAGCTAAAAGCATATAAAAGAAAACCGTCTCTCGACTTGATACTCCAACGTTAGAGCTATGATGACTTAGTGTGTTTATTTTTTATTTTTTACATGGGATTATTGATAGGCGAATGACATAAAAGAGAATTCCAGGTACTTGTAAAATGTTGACGCCTGGTAATGCTCATAGTGAATTCGTTTATGTATTTTAACTTAAAGGGGCAGCACCATAACCACTACAGCTCACTGATATGATATGGTTCCCGGTCAAATCGTTCCAATACGTCCCCACATTTCAAATGAACAAATAGGGACACTTTATTTTAGGGGTGTGTGGGGATGTATTTAGATGAAATATAACAATTTATGCAACTAAAATGTCATTCAGAACAATAACAATGTATTTTATTTACACTGGCTGATTTCTTAACAAACATTTATTTTAGTTTAAAAACACACTACTGTGATGTGAGTATTATTGCCGTGGCGCTCTGTTATAATCTCAGGCACACAAAAAATATGAAGCTCCAAGAAAAGAGCATTAGGAGAGAAAAGAGGGACAAGGGGATTTGGGTTCAAAATAGGGACTGACTCTCCTTAATAGGGGCACTTGGGAAGTATGCATTCTGAAGCAGTCTGACATAGAAGTGAGCTCTTTCTTACACTTAAAGCCCATTCGTAGCTCAGCTTTTTTGCAACTACACTGGCAGTCCAGAAATAATACCCATGATTCAGTGTATGCAAAATAGCTAAAGAACTAAATAGTTAAACACTGAATATTGATACTGTCTATATTAGTGTAGTTTATAAATACATCATTTACAAATCCATGTTTTGTTATACAAGTTTACCCATAACTTGGTGAAAAATGTATTACTCACCATATGAGTAAGAGAATGTTAAAATATATTAGTCATCAATTCATTTTATACAAGATTTCCAGATCGTGATCTGATTTAGGGCTGTTAATGAGAAATGCATACTTTAGGCATGTATTACTTTAAATAAGAACGAAAGTATGTATTTTTATAGACTTCCCTAAATTAAATGATGATTTGGCAGCAGTTATTATATCCCTTAAATTACAGCATATAAACACATAAATAGGGGGACCATTAATAATAAAATTATGTCAAATTTCCAGGTAGAGTTAATGTAAATTTGGGCTTTTGGAGATATGACAAGAAATAAATCAAATATGGTCAAAGAGAAAGTAATGTCCCCATTTGGAGATATGAAGTCACTCAGCTTCATGCAGTTAATGAGTACTCCAAAGTAATGTTTGACTAAATAGCCATTTAGAAAGCACCCTGGATTAAAAAGAATGTGTCACAGAGGAGAATATTCATCATCTGGCTGGCTAGCATTCGTGCTGTTTGCCAGCTGACTTAATTTTGTCCCTGTATTAGTATGCATATTGTTTGCGTGTTTGTGTCTGTGTGTGTGTAAAGAAACTTTATACAGAAAGGGGAAAGGCATCGAGATTTAAAAGTAATGTTATTTTTTTGCAGACTGCTTTTTGAAAGTTTAACCCCTTAAGGACCAAACTTCTGGAATAAAAGGGAATCATGACATGTCACACATGTCATGTGTCCTTAAGGGGTTAAACTGTCTTCAAAAATATTACAGGCCTCTGGCATTTGGAATATTTTACTACACAATGTACCCTGAATCTGCCAATTAAACTCACTGAATCTGCCAATTAAACTCACTGCCTAGGTAAAGTTTAAGATATACTCTTTTTCACCCACTAGGCAGAGTAGGCACTGACTTGTCTACAAGAGCCTGTCCTCTAGGGAGAGCCTGTTTTAGCACATATAATGAACATTTTTGAGTTTAAAGGATCACTATAGGATTAGGAATGCAATCTTGTATTCCAAACTCTACAGTGTCCTGAGACCTATCTAGGTGTCCTACCCCACCATAAGGGTTTGAAAGGTGAATATTACTTACCTTTAAGCCTTTGCAACACTGCTCTCATTGCTGCCGCTCCACCTCCTTGGCTGATATCATCAATGTTGGGATCTTGTGGGATGCAAGTGCACATGCGCGGCAAAGCACAGGTCTGCATCAATCAAAAGGAGCACATTTGATCTATAACAAGTTTTCTTGGTTGTAGTAAAGCAAGCATGTCAAACTCAAAGTCTGGATAGGGCCACATAAACAAGGTTTAAATTTATGTGGGCCGCAAAAAAGAAAATACCGTATATTTTCATAGAAATGTAGGTTTATTTGAAAAATTTCACTTTTCACCGGGTGAATGCACGGTTTTTGTCTTGTATCTCAATCCCCATTATAAGGACCAAGTCAGGTGTTTTTTGTTTTTTTTAATGTACATCCTTTAAAGTTAGTGTGAAGTTGAGCGTGCTGTATTCGGTATCCTGTATCTGTTAGTCACAGCAGCGCCCTTATAAAGTATGTGTTCAAGTGAGTGCAAAATGAAAAATCAGGGAGGGGATACATTTGCATAACAAACATGGCACTCCTTAAGGAGTATGCATTAAACTATGCAGGGAACGGCATAGATTCAAAGTTATTAAAAGGACACTCCAGACCCCTGAAGCACTTTAGTCTGCTGAAAAGCTTTACAAAAAGTGAAGTTTCCAATGGAAATTTACACTTTGATAAATTAACCTGGTTACACCTCCTGGCTTATCAAGTAGACAATCGGTCCAGTTACTTCCTGGTTTGGTTAGCTCAGTGGTGCTAAACACAAGAGGCAGCATTTGCCCAGAGCACCTGCCTTGCAAAGACTTCTCATTGGGTTGTACTGGGAAGTCTGTGATTGGACAGTCACAGCAAGTCTGGGCTGGGGAGGAAGGGG